AATCTGTTAATTAAAAATAGAACCACTTACTTTTAATAGTTTTCTTTTCCGGCAGCTGTGTCAGTATCAAAGTAGAGATGGACTCCAGATGTCCCGTTGAGGGATAACCGGCCTTCATATTAGGGTGTATGATGTCTTACAAATGGCAAAGTAGATCTCTGTTAATAGAGTGTATGATGAGTTAGCGATAGAAGGGACCAAGAAGATTAATATAATACCAGGTAAAGGTTTGTTTGTATTTGGTAATGCCAATAACTGGTCGTGGCTCCGGAGTCGGAACATATCAGTTGGGATCGGCTTTTCTAACTTCGTTAACGCTTCACCTGCCAAAACGTCTCTGCGTTATCAAGGAGAAGCGGAAGGAAAAAATGGAATGAAAAAACTACTACATCAAATAATAATCTACCTGAAGCTATCTTTGGATTGATGCTTGTTATCAGGGAGCGATATTTATAGGTGAATTACATACGGTTTGTCAGAAAGCGAAGAGTTTCCCAGCAAACTTAAAGAGAGAGGCGTGAAATGATCTGATGTAAACTCGAAATAAATGACAAACTTTAGAAGATGGGAGGCGTTTCGGTTATGAATTGATTTTGTGGTTTCTCTGATATCGCAGAGAAAGAGCTTCGATGGGAAGACGGGGAAGAAGAAACCTAATTCAGTACGGGCCTAAATAATAACTTAGAGTTGGATTTTAAATGTGTTCCAAGCCCAGTTCGATTTACAACCAACCAACCAACCAGTGACATGTGTCAAAAATCCCCCATAACAAAAAGAAACGACGTGGATGATTGTGGGGGCAGATAAGTTAACTTTATTATTATAGATGTTTATTATTATTTTTTGTCGACGCCCATCTTCTAAGATCAAGTGGTAATCGGGTCTGAGTCGTTCCGAAGAAACGCTCTATCCGGCTGGATCTGTTCTATATGGGAAAAAGAGTGTTACTACATCTCGCCTCCTTTGCAAGAGAATCTGCACGCAAATTCTTATTTCAGGATATGTGGACGATGTTGGACTCATCAAATATGTCCTTTAGAAGTCGGAACGAAACTAACTCATGTGCAAAGGCCGGCCATTCGGATGGAGAAGCGATCATACTCACCAGGTCGGAGCAATCCATCTCCATATGAATCGCAGTACAATGTAACCCTCGTAAACAAACCATCTCCCATATGAGGCCTTCCATCTCTGCATGGAGGGCTGAAATGCTTTTTCGATATCCTTGTAGTCCAAATATTTTGATTCCCATTAAGTCCTTATAGCACCACCCTAGTCCACTGACCGTGCCATCTTCGATCCATGACGCATCGATTTGACAGGTCGGGTGTTGGTTGTCCACAGGGAGAGTCGAGATAGATGGTAGGGCAGATCGTGTCTCCTCTTCATCTTTGCCCTCGGGTAAGTTTGCTTTTCTCCAGCACTCGGCTTCAACAGAAGCTAGCTGGAGGGTGTCGACTGGTGTTACCTCTTTTCCATTGAAAAAATTGTTCTTACGTGCCTTCCAAATGTACCATAGGATCCATGAGAAGGTCTCAATAAGTGGTTCTGTGTGGACCACATTTTTTTTTCCCAAAAAAGGAAGTTCATGTTTTGATAAACATATGTACTCGGGAAGGAACCCGGAAGGGACTGATAGTCTGATAAAGCCCACACCTAAAGGGCGGGTGGGCATTCAAAAAGAAGATGGTTAATGGTTTCCTCAGGGTTACCACATCTAGGACAGCTCCTATTAGTTCCCATGTGTCTATAGGCGAGTCTCTCTGTTGTTGCTATACATCCTGTTAAAGCTTGCCACATAAAATGTTTCATCTTTCCAGGAGCAGAAATACACCACATATGGCTCTGTAAACCAGTGATACTTGGCTGTACAACTTGAGCTTCAGAGTCATTAAATTTAGTCGTATGTTCCATCATATCCTGATTTAACCGAATAGGAACCTGAATTTGTATAGTTCCATGCATACCCATCCATAGACCATGTATTACTTGGTCGCAGTTTGAGAATAAGCGGTATATTCTCGGGGTGGAAATACTCTAGTAAAAGGTTAGTATCACAATCCCTTGTATCACGCCTAATAAAGGAATGGACAAGGAGTTTTGGGTATCTATAAATAACCCGATCAGATGGTCTCGGGGGCCGAGCGTACGTATCTGGGATCCACGGTTCCGTCCAAACACAAGTGTTCAGGCCTTCTCCGATAGTCTTTCATAGACCCGATTTTAGAAGTGGCCTCGCTGCCATAATACTACGCCAACCATAGGATGGTGAATAAACCTTACGATCTTCCAAAGGGTTTGATCGATTATAGTATCGTCCTCTCAAAACTCAAGCGAGAAGGGAATTTGGAAACTGAATCAATCTCCATAGTTGTTTTGCTAGAAGAGCAATATTAAAGTCATGTAGATTTAAAAAACCGAGTCCACCCTGGTCATGTGGAAAACAAATCTTGTGCAAAGCAATCCAATGTAAACCTCGGTTATTTTGGCTTGAGCTCCACCAAAAATCTGAAATTGCACCTTTTAGTTTCTCCACGATGCCTTGTGGAAGCAAGTAACACGACATACTGTATGTCGGAACAGCTTGCGCCACTGCTTTTATTTGAACTTCTTTACCCCTTTTCGATAGTAGTCTAGCCGACCACGAGGTGACACATCCATTGAGTCGATCTGGTACATACAAGAAAACTTTCATCTTGAAACCACAAATTTTCTCTGGAAGTCGAGGTATTTTCCCATCCCTCCTTCAGTAGTAATGCCAAGAACACTTTTAATATTTGTCTTTACGTTATGGTCCACCTAATTCCCAAAAAAGATGGAGGACTTTGACGCATTAAGTCTTTATCTCGAAGCCTTTCCATATGATTCTAGAATGTCTAAAATTTCCTTGCGATGTCTTACTTCTGCTTTGCAAAAAAAGAGGCTGTCATCCGCAAAGAGGAGATGTGAGATCCGGGGGCTGGCGCGCACAACACGTAATTCCAAGATGCGCTTCTCTTCCTCCGGTCCTTGAAGGAGGGAGATCAGAGCTTCAGTGCACAATATGAAAAGGAAATGGGATAATGGATCACCCTGTCTCAAGCCTCTGGTGGGAGTAATTTTACCCCTCGATTCACCATTGATGATCACTTGATATGAAACTGATGTAACATAGAACATCAAAAGGTCAACCAATTTCTCCGCAAACCCCAAGTGTGGCAGCAAGTTACAAGTAAAACTCCATTCTACTCTATCGTACGCTTTGCTCATGTCCGTCTTAATGGCCATGAATTCTTCTCTGGCTCTGGTATTTGTCCGGAGTGCATGGAAATTCTCTTGCGTTAGAAGAATATTGTCTGTAATCAACCGACGTGCTACGAAGGCGGACTGGGTCTCTAAAATTAGATCGGGGAGAAAACTCTTGAGTCGTTTAGATAATAATTTTGAGATAATCTTGTAACTGACGTTACAAAGGCTAATAGGGCGAAACTCTGTCATCTCCCTCGGTCTTCCTTTCTTTGGGATCAAACAGATGTTGGTTTGAGTCAAAGCTCCCATCAGTAAAGAAATCTTTAACTAGACAGATGATATCTTTGTGCATAACATGCCAAAATCTCTGGAAAACTCTACTTGTCATCCCATCTGGACCTGCAGCTTTATCCGGATTAATATCAAAAAGAGCTTTCTTTATTTCTTGCTCCGATGGTTCCGCCGTGAGGATGTCATTCACGGATTCTGGAACTTTATTTTTTATGTATCGAAGAGATACATCCATGTCTGTGGGAACAGAAGTAGGGAAGAGTTCTTGGAAATAGTCAACCGCCACCTTTTCTATTCCAAGATCGCTCTCAACCATCATGCCCTCTTTGTCCTTGATACATGTGACCCTATTTCTCGCTCGTCTCTGTTTAGTGGTCGCATGGTGGATTTTCGTGTTTCTGTCACGTGCTTGATGCCATTGCGTCATGCTTTTCTGCTGCCAATATTCGTCCTCTTCCCTAAAGGCGGTAATAAGTTGGGATCGAATAGCACATAATTCTTCAAGAGTAGTGTGATCATCTTCTTGGGTTAGGTACTTTTTGGCTCCTCAATAAGTCTTGACGAATTCGTCGGGTTATTCTTTTCCCAAGAAACTATATTTCGACGGCAAGAGACCACTTTATGGTGGAAATCCATATCTTGGGTTTCACTGAAAGTGCCCCAACCTGTAACAATTGCCTCTTTGAAACCGGGTTTCCCTATGCATATTTTATCAAATCTAAAATTCTTCTTCGATCTTCTGTAAATAGATTGTATATGTGCTAGCACCGGTCTGGGATCTGATCCCCAAAGCTGTAAAAACTCCACATTTGTAGCCTGGAAGAACGAGTGCCACTCTTCGTTTGCTACTGCTCTATCTAATATGCATTTCACCTTTCCTGAGCGTCTTTTTCCAACCCACGAGAAAGAGTCGCCCTTATATGGAAAATCTAGCATCTCGCAGTTATCCAACATGGTACGGAAAGGAAGGAATGAGTATTCTTGTCTTCTCCGTCCCCCTCTCTTTTCATGGTTACCCGTAATCTCGTTGAAGTCACCTATCATAAACCAAGCTTGGCTCCGGTTTAAACTCATTCGTGTTAGTCGCTCCCAGACTAAATCACGATTTTTTATAACCGGCTCACCATAAACAAAAGTCATATAGATAACATGTCCTTCAAAGGTAGATTTAATATCAATCATGTGATTATCCGCATACAAAATAGAAACATCAGGGTCATCCATGTAAAAAAGAGCTAAATCCCCACTACGATCACAAGGATCGACGGTGTAGACACGATTAACTAAAAGAAACTTGCACATCTTGCAAAAAGGATCGATAATTTTTTGTCACCGATAAAAATAAAAACCTAGGTAAAAAAACAGTGATAGAGTTCTTCAAGATGTTCCTTTGTCAAAGGAGCACCAGCTCTTTGACAATTCCAAGCTACAATATTCATCACGGGGCTTTTGGTGGCTTGCCGCTTGTCACTTTAGAGTTATTAACCTTGGGTATTGTCCCTCGGCCTTTTTTTATCAACTGAAGAAGATGGGCCTAACTGGCCTGGTATGGACCCATTCGGCCCATGACTTGCAGAAAAAACCTTAGGAGACCCAAGCCCACTCAAGAGATTACGCTGTCTCAAGGAGACGCCAACCGTCGAGGGACTGCGGGATCCTTTCTTCTTCCTCGTCGATGGAGCTGAGACTGGAATCGATGTAGAGTTAGTATTCTTCCTGGGCGTTTTACTCTTTGAATCAACGACATGAATAGCCATCTCGCTCGAGCCAAAGCCATCCATGATTTTCGAAACTGTCCCCATGTTAGAGTTTTCAATTCCAGATTCTTCCATTGTTCGAACGTGCTTCGCTTCCACAATCTGAAGCTCTTCACCAAGTAGATCATCCTCCTCCATTAAATCGCCATCTTCCTCTCCAAAATCATTGCCCTCTGCGTTCCAAAAATCATTCCCATCATCCAACCAATCTTCTTCTTCAAGAATTCTTTCATTAGGAGGTAAACCAATATTATCAAAGTTAGCTGGATCCTGAAGGGGTTCTTGCGTCTTCATCGCTTCTTCACCTTCATTTTCTTCCTCTTCTACAGTCATCTCATACCAGCTTTTTGAAATTTCTTTGAATGGTGGAGGTTGAATCGAGGAGGCAGGAAGATTGACAGAAGGTGGGTCTAAAAGGGATTTAAAGTTTAAGCTTTTTCTAGCAGAACTCCCTTCATCAGACAACTCATCTATATCTGATATCTTCTCTTTGAGTTTCAGAGTTAAGGGAGCTTTCTTTTGGAGATTTAACCTGAAGGGTCTCACTCTGGTATGTTCCGGGGAGACTGTAGCATGTCTTGCTGGTAAAGCTGTAGGATTCAACAGAGATCGCTGGGGAGAAGCTGCAGCAGCTTTTAAATGTTTATTAATAAATCATGTTCTTAATTTTACTTTTATTAATCTTATTTAGTTTTGAATATCATATATAATATCTGAGTAAATAATTTTTTTTTTTTTATTATTTTCGTGAATTAAATGCTTTTATCTCTTTTGATTTTACAAGTTTATTAATAAATCATGTTCTTGTTTTTACTTTTATTAATCTTATTTAGTTTCATACTATATAATATCGAGTAAATAATTTATTGAGATATTTAAATTTTGATGATTATTTCATAATGCCTCTTAAAAAATATATTGAACAATAATAAATATCTAAAATTTATGAGATTCAAGTCTTGTTATGCTTTTTACTATATCTCTCAATTCCTAATTTTTTACAAAAAAAATTGTTAAATAATGAAACTAATTTTAAATAGTTTATATGCGAATAAAAATGAAAGTAAAAATAAAGAGAGCCAATTTCAATTTTGACATGTGGTTACATTACTTCTTAGTGTCAATTCAAACATTCAGTTATTCCGACAAATATTTTCATCCAAAAACTTAGGAAAAAATGATTTAAAACCGTTTGGTAAAAAAAGTGATCCAAAATTATACATATATTCTTTTGAAACACAAGTTCCAAGATTATATTACTTTCATGTAATCATCATACATAAGCAACAATCCAAAATAGAAAATCATAAGCTATTCAAAAACACACACAAAAAAACACCAGAAAGTTCAGATTTAAGTTTTAAAAGCAAATGAGAAGGTGATATGAAGTGAAAAAGGGAGAGTTGGTCGTTTTTAAAAGCAAACTTGAGGAGAGTTTAGTAGGTGTTATGTGTTAGTGGCAATCAATGTATCTACCTAAAACTAAAACAACCAAGAAAGTAAATTTATCTACCTAATTATAAAACAACCAAGTACATGATACTAAAGTCCATTTAATTCCAACCTAATCAATGTCTATAACGCATTAAAGGATTGTCTATTTACCTCTTGCTAAGTAAATTTAAAGAGAGATGCTTTGACATGTTTGATCTGCTTTGATGAAGTTTGATCCGTATCTTGCTGCTCCCTGCAAGACCATTGTCATCGAATCAGGACAAAAGAAATCCAGAGAAGCTTTCCAGATACATATAGAACGGACTTAAGGGATCACCAACATCGTACTTATGACAGGAATGTACTTGAAAGCTTCATGCTCCATCACCAAGGCAAGTAGATCAAAACCGGATATAGATGGCAAAAATCCAGCTTTGTTAGTATAAGAACAATGTTATGTCTCTTCTCCTTTAGTATCTCTCACGCAGCTAAACCATCCGAAACTGCTATAACTGTTTTTCAAATCAAAACCCAAGACTTTAGTTTAATTACAACAGACTTCTTACTTCAAAATTAAGACAAAGGAACGAAACTTGAAACAAATTAAGACAATGAAGATTTAATCAATCAACTGTTTTGAATCAAAACCAGAGTCTACTCAAACTTCAAAATCAAGACAAAGAAAGAAACTTCAAAACATCAAATAAAAAAAAAACAGAGTAAAGCAATGACCTTTGTAAGAGCACTTTTGCAGAAGGATGGTGATAATTTGGCGAGTTGAATCATCGGATTCGACAAGCAAAACCGTAAGCACAGTTTTTGGAAGATACTTCTCCCACCTGACAACCTCCGATGATGACTTGCCTCAGTTCATCATCGTCTCCATAGTACCTTCATCGCTACTTAAAACCACAACTTCCCACATCAATCTGAGAGAGAGACCCGACGATTGGATTTCGACGAAATCGAAAAAGAGGGAGTCAGAATCGACGACGAACAAAAGGATCAAACATCATCTCCGTTGGATCAAACATCATCGACAGAATTAACGACAAAGGGATTTTTTTTTTTTGGTGATCTGAGATACCGAAAGGAAACCAAAAAATAATAATAATGGAGATATATGATATGACCATGTATTTTTTGTTATTACCTTATCATTCCAGTGTGTGATTTTCCGTCATAACTATACAGGTCCTAGATAATTTCTTCTTTTCCAGTTTGAGCAGAAACCAATGCTCGGTATGTGCTTATGTCAGGCCAGTCCATGGAAGCAACAACCCGTGGTTATATAAAAAAGTCAGAGATAATACTTGTGAAGGTAGAACAAGTAAAATAAAAAAAGCATTCATACCGCGGCGCGAGAAAGTTGTTCGGCAACTGTTGGATGAGTGACGTCAGGACCGAAGAATATAGTTGCCTTTTCAGTTATGAGGGGAATTTGTTTCTGAGAACATAGTTTCGCCCCCCAGGCTGTACAAGAAACCATTATTTAACATAAGAAAACTGCTAGAATGTAAGCAACAAGAAAGAGAGAGATGGCAAACCTTGAGATTAATCTTCAAGGCAAGAGACTCCAGAATACGTGTGTCTCTCTTAGATGCATTTTTATGCTGAATACACTGCGAGACAATGCCAAGCTCTGTCTCACATAGCTTTTTGATCTTTCCTGCAAAATAATAATGAGACGTTGAAACCATATTTGCATTAATTAACATAGAATTAAAGACTAAACAAATATGCAAACTTACCGTATGATCCTGTCACATCAGGCAATATGACAATCAACATTTGGAGGTTTGTTGTTTTCTTGTGGATCTCTCGCAGTGCTTCCTCGAGTTTTGCAGGCTGATAAGAGCTGACTGGAATAACATGATTCTTTCTGAAAATCTGGTATCAACGGTTAAAAGTCAGGTAATGACTCTCTAAAATAGCCACGGGGATTGGTATTCGGTTCGGTTTCGGGTAGGAATCATTTGGTTCTTGGTATATCAGATAAATCATTTATATACCCAATAGGTATTTATAAGACTTCGGTTCAGTTTTGGTTCGGTTCCGGGTACCCATTTAATATGTGAATCAAATATATATGTACAAAATATATTAGTTAACATGTTAATTTAAATGATCTATACACGGTTTCATATTCGTCAATCTAACAAGAGTTAGAATTATTAAAGTGTTAATTTTATAAATATTTACTGTATTTTAATATACAAATATCATATATATATTTATGATATAAGAGAATAGATAAAAGATAATGTAATTTGGTGGAAACAATATTCTCAATATTTATGTCCAACATGAGTTCGAGTGGGCTTGATTCTAATTTACCTTATATTAAAAAGCTTAAATTTAATTTTTTGGGTATCCATTCGGTCATTGGTTCTATTTCCGTTTCAATTTTTCAGAAATAGAAATATAGGTACCATTCGAGTATGTGAGGGTTTTGGTCCAATTTCCGATATTTCGGTTCGGTTTCCGTTTGTTTTTTTGGTTCCGTTTTTTTGCCCAAGACTACCATTAAATATAAACAAATCGTGAGATAAAAATTCGTACCATTCCTAAATTGTAGCACTTCAAAATCAGATTTCGGCAGAGTATCTCAACTAAGTCTTGTCTAAGCGTTGAGAATTTTACACAAGCCCAATTAGTTACCCGTGCTCCATTGATCATTTTCTTAAACAAAATAAAAACCACAAAGGTAGACGTAAGAGACGATACCAAGAAACATACAAGCATTTTTTGAATTAGTTTCAAGCACATATAGTTTTACCTTGCCACGCATGCTCCACTTTCCCTGCTCCGGAGTCACAGTTTGTTCTTCACCGCTATAGTTATAACGGTATTTCAACTGTCAACAAGACAAAATACAACATCTTTAGTGAGGAACATCGAAAGGTTGTATGTCAATAAAAGAAAATCAATTGCAAAAACATATGACACAGACATCACTCCGTTAAGATCCTTGTTCACAAGCTCTAAAGCGTGTTTCTTATCAATCTTAATCATTTGATGATATAAAAAAAAGGAAAGCAAATACCAAGTTAATCAAAATATAGTATTTCGGTAGTTAGAGCTGTATAATGAGGAGATTGTAGTAAATGCTATAAAAATACCAACTTACCGATTGTATCATACTCTCTCTATCTTGAGGTCGTTGGAGAGAAGCTTTTCGAAATGCAATCGATTGCTGCGGACTAAGAGCTTTTGTGTATTTCTAGCCAGTAATTATTCGGCAAAACTGCACAAAAAATTCACAAGAACAAACGCTTACATAAATTGTAAAGAATGATGAATATAAGCAAAATTTGTTACTTCTATTGGCACGTATGCATCAATCCCTATTCGGATTGCATGAAGATATGGATACTCCACCTTACGGCTATATCGGCTAGTAAAATACTCGGTGACTTCCACCTCAATGCCCGTTTTCTTTGAGTTGAAGCTGAAAATATCAACAAATAAAAGCTACAATGAAACCTAGTTTAAGAAATAGTTCAAGCAAATTCAGAGACTAAAACTTACCTAAGCAGACGAATGGGATGAATGAAAATTCCTTCAATCTTTTCCACTTTTGGGGAACGCAAATACGTCAATTCAACTCTGAGATTTCTCAGCCCGTTTTCCATCTGTAATACATTATACAATACAAGCATTAGTAAACTTATGAACTTGGGCCTAGGTCTCTTTTACGTCAATTTCTCCCTGTTATTTTAACTTAATATGATGGTTGCACAAAATGCATTAGTAAACTAAATCCAATACAAAATTTAGTTGTTTACATTTTAACGAGCAATACAAAGTCTGAGTTAAAAAAAAGAAAACTAAATGATTGAACAGTTTAATTGAATGAT